GAGAGTGAGAGGAGCCATCATGGAGAAGCCCCTAGCTAACACCTAAGCTGGAACAAGAGCTGTACCAGGGGAAAGAATTGTGCCCAGGCCTGGAAGGTGTCCAGTCTGAGAAAAACTTACTGAAGCATCTCTGAGGGTGAGATTATCTGTATTTAGTTTGATTAGGCATAGATTTGCGCATTTTATTTTATTTTGCTTGTGACTTACTCTGTTCTGTCTGTTACTACTTTGAACCACTTAAATCCTACTGTCTGTATTTAATAAAATCACTTTTTATTTAGTAATTTACTCAGAGTATGTATTAATACCTGGGGGAGCAAACAACTGTGCATATCTCTCTATCAGTGTTATAGAGGGCGAACAATTTATGAGTTTGCCCTGCATAAGCTTTATGCAGGGTAAAACGGATTTATCTGGGTTTAGACCCCATTGGGAGTTGGGCATCTGAGTGCTAAAAACAAGCACACTCCTGTGAGCTGTTTTTGGGTAAACTTGCAGTTTTGGGACAAGTGATTCGGACCCTTGGTCTGTGTTGGAGTCAGACAGGAGTGGCTGGCTCAGCAAGACAGGGTGCTGGAGCCCTAAGCTGGCAGGGAAAACAGAAGCAGGGGTAGTCTTGGCACATTGGGTGGCAGCTCCCAAGGGGGTTTCTGTGATCCAACCCGTCACAATATTAATTCTTCTTTTATTTTTAACCAATATCTCTGCCTATCAGATTCCATAATATATTGCACCTTTCACGCCTCCCAAAGCAGTTTATTAACTATACACACTATGTTGAATTATTTAATGTTAGAGCACCAATCACCTTAATATGTGGGCATTATTTACAAAATGTTAAAGATCATAAAATACTATAGGCAGGGCTGGTAGTGCCACCTGTTTTTAAGGTTGCACAACAGTTCCCATTATAAGATCCTGTTTTCAGTTGCTTATAACTTTGCCAAACTTCAACCATTTGGGCCAAAATTCTACATGCCAGGTGTCTGCCTCAGCCTGAATTTTTTGGGGAAAGCTTCAGTCAAAACAGTTCAGACATTTCCAAGAATGAGACTTAGGAAAAATAAGTTTTAACCATGCATGGTAGATCTAAATGTTCCAACCAGGCCGATGACCCACAGGGGTGTCAATATGATGCCACATGATGAAATTTGTTTTTTTCAGTTTGCTTTTTTTTTAAAAAAACATAGGAAATTACACACACAAAAGCTAAAAAAACATTATTAAGGTTGCAGAGTGAAGCACCCAAAAGTGAGGAAATTATAGTATTAAAATTGCCTGTACAACCTGAATTCAGCCCCCTTGTGTGTATGCATTATGATACAGTCTTTAATTACATGATCGCATACTATTTTTTCCACAGGACCCCTGCCTCATTCAGTGCACAGGATGAGCTTGCTCTGAGGATGAATCACCATTGTGTAATGAATGAGACTGTTTCCTGGAAGCCCTCTGCCTCATTTGTTGCAGAAGTAGTGAATGAGGCAGAGGACTGCAGGAAGGGGAAGGAGGGTCTCATGGTTAAAGTAGTTGAATGCTGCTCTGGAGAACTGGGAAATATAATTTACCCCTTCACATAACACAAGAACCAGGGCTCACCAATGAAACTAATATGTACCAGGTTTAAAACAAATATAAGGAAGTACTACTTTACAGAATGCACAGTCAACCTGTGGAACTCATTGCCAGGGGATGTTGTAAAGTCCAAAAGTATAACTGGGTTCAAAAAATAATTAGATAAGTTCATGGAGGATAAGTCCATCAATGGCTACTAACCAAGATGGTCAGGGATGCAACCCCATGTTTTGGGTATCCCTAAAACTGTGATTGCTAGAAGCTGGGACTGGATGACAGGAGATGGATCACTCGATAATTGTCCCATTCTGTTCATTACCTCTGAAGCACCTGGCACTGGCCACTGTTAGAAGACAGGATACTGGGCTAGAAGGACCACTGGTCTGACCCAGTATGGCCATTCTTATGATGCCATTCACACATTCTCCTTCTACTGGCCTCAACCATATCCATTATTATTGTAACTACAGTTATTTCCATTGCTGTTATGCCACCAATACTCCAGGAGCACACTGCTTCAGCTCCACCCATTCCCAGGACTCAAGCAGCTTACAGTTCCAAAAAATATCCAATAGACATGCCTTTCCCATGGCTTCTGGATATCCAGCCAATCATTCCTCCATTCAGATTATTCCCTAGCACAATCCACATAATCACCTATCTCAGTTCAGTGGAAAAATGGACATAAGAAACAAGGTTCCAGACATCTAACACCTGTATGCTGCACAAGACCACTACTAGGCATGGGCTGGAAGCAGAACACACAAAACAACATGAACTAAAGATGATATTGATCAATGCAAGATCTACCATTAACAAACAATAAACAATCCATGACCTCATCAGTGACGAAACACCCAATATAAGCTGCATCACTGAGACCTGGTTGAATGACACAATGAGCCCTGTGCTAGCCCACCTTGCACCCTCAACCCCTTGATACATGGACCATCACAGACCCAGACAGGACAAGAAGACAAGTGGCACTGCATTCATCTTCTCTGCAAACATCAAATCCAAGAGATGTGCCTAGATAAGACAAGTTTATACAAATTAAATCTTTACACCAGTATATGAAGTGCAAATTTTGCTCAGTACAACAAGTTGTGTATTTCACCCTGCTCACTGCGCCACTGTGATGGGATCCCCAGGGTGCAGCCCAGGACCATGGGACCGCTGTGCCCCCTTAACTCTCTCCGGCCTGGGCTGTCTCTCACAATGCCTTGCTAGTGACCAGCCGCAACCCCCTCCAGGTGCTGTTATCAGTCAGCACAACCGGATGTGGAGCCCCCCCACCCAGCTAGATTGCATGAATGCTCCCAGAGCCACTCATGAATCACACAGAGAAAGACACTGGCCAAATCCCCGCAGCTCCCAGTACTGTACCTCAGGAACATACCATCTTCCACTGCTCAAGACAGGCAGTGCAAATTTATTAATTGGTTCACCACTTCATCAATGGAAAGTAGACATACACCAGCCTTTGCAAACCTGAGCAGATTTGCCACGCACTTCAGGCAAACTCACTGGTAAAGATAAACAGTTAAACAAATTTATTGACTACAAAAGAAGATTTTAAGTGATATTAAGCGATAGACAAAAAGTCAGGCCACACAGTTTTTGAAACACGGGCAGAGGTGAAAGTAAGCCGGTACGCCCCAGTACGGCATACCGGCAAGAACCGGTTTGCCGTACCGGGGCGGCCCAGCTTCCCCAGGGGGCAATTTAAAGGGCCTGGGGCTCCCAGCAGTGGCTGGAGCCCCAGGCCCTTTAAATTGCCACCAGAGCCCCACTGCTGGAGCCCTGGGGTAGAGCTGCGGGGCTCTGGGGGCTATTTAAAAAGTCCGGGGCTCCTGCTGCTTCTACTGCCCTGGCCCTTTAAATAGCTGCCAGAGCCCTGGAGTAGTGGCGGTGGGGCTCCGGCGGCTATTTAAAGGGCCAGGGCGGTAGAAGCAGGGGAGCCCTGGGCCCTTTAAATAGCCCCCGGAGCCCAGGGGTAGCAGGGGGCTCCAGGGGCTATTTAAAGGGCCTGAGGCTCCTGCTGCCTCTGCTGCCCTGGTCCTTTAAATAGTCACGGGAGCCCCGCCGCTTCCCCAGGGCTCCCGCAGCTATTTACAGGGCCGGGGCAGTAGAAGCAGGGGAGCCCCAGGCCCTTTAAATAGCCCCTGGAGCCCCGGGCTGCTGCTGCTACCCCGGGGGGGGGGCACTTACCTTACAGGGTGGGCTGGGGCTGGCTCTGACTCCCTCAGCCACGCCCCTTCCACCCTAGGCCCCACCCCTTCTGGGGGCCAGAGCTGGCCCCAGCGTACCGGTAAGTCCCTGGACTTACTTTCACCCCTGAACCCAGGGACCGCGGCATACCACGGCTCCAGGAACCGGAGTGTGGGGGGAACCCCCAACAAACTCTATACTAAGACACTAATAACTCTACTAATACTAAGGAACTAACTATATACAACCAGATAAAAACCGAACTTGCTGAGCAAGAGCTAAGGGAAGTTCCAGCCACCGTCACTGGCGGTAAGAAGAAACTGAAGGAGGGGCGGGTTGGCAGGGCTATATACTAGGCGCCATGAAGGCGCGACTCCAAGGGGCACCCAGGCCAACCCAACGGATGCTGCTAGGGGAAAAATCTTCTGGTCAACGTGCACGCGCGTGCATACACCTGATTGGAATGGACATGAACAAGCACTCGAAGAAGAAGTCATAGTTTTTACAAAGAATCATACCAACATTAATTAATCCTTGTAATACTCATGGGAGATAGGTAAATAAGTATTTTATGCATCTGATGGAGAAACTGAGATGGAGAGGTCAAGTATTTTCCAAGGTTGCATGGCAAACAAGTGGGTTGGGCAGGATTAGAACTCAAATTATTGTCTCCTAGTCTCTTCATTTTTCAATCCATCACCTTTTACAATAATATATGATATCTTGCATTATTATAGTACCTTTCATTATATCATTTCTTTGCTCACTTTTTAGCCACAAAAAGTGCAGAGTGATTGAAAACTTTCATCCACAAACATTCTGCAAACTTCAGAATGCTGTGCTGAGCAAAATGGGTGTGCCGTTTTCTATTAACATTAGCATTTTAGAAAATACTCCAAGCTCCTAAAAACAATCCACTGCTTCGGATTTGGTGCAATATATTCTATTTGCTTCAAGTTCCATTTTATTCCAATATTTCAGGGGTTACGGTAGTATTACTTTCTGAATAAGCAGTAGTCCTGGGGCAGATTAATTTATTTTTGTGTTGAGAAGCTACAAAATTGTTGCAGAAATTGGTGCTATTCAAATTTCTAAACTGTTCTACAATTGCTCTGTGGGCTCTGACATGTGTTTTAATTTATCAGATGTTTCTATCACACTATAGCACTAGGACCTGAAGGAATCCTTTAGTTCTGGTACAGTAAGTGTAGAATAAATATAGCACAGCACAGATGGCTAAGGAACAGGACAGCAGAAACAAGCCAAAGTGCTGCAGGAAACAAACTGCACTTTCAATTAATAGGGTTTAAGTATCATTTTGTGTTCTGCCACAGTCCTTAATGCTTCTCATCAAAATCAGCCTATGAAAGCATCAGAGGGCAGTGGTGACACTGCACCCTTTGTTGCCAATGTTACAGCTCTGTAAGATCACCGACTCTTTGCTAATCAGTAATTCTAGAGCAGCCTGCAACAAAGAACTCCTCACTCAAGAGGGAGTTACATTCTGTATTAATGTCTCCAGGCAGCAGCCATTCCCAGGCCTTCACCACGTCCGAAGCCTGCGCGTTCCTGTTTTTGATGACCCTTTGGAGGACTTGTATAAGTATTTTGAACAGTGCAACAATGCCATAGAGGACACAGTTCAAAGTGGTGGAAAATGCTTAGTTTACTGTAAAAATGGCCGCAGCAGATCTGCAGCGATCTGCACTGCCTATCTGATGAGACACCAAAATCTCACTCTCAAGGATGCCTTTGAGGTACTGTACTCATGCTTGAAAGTTATCTCTTATGTTTGATAAGAAATTCATTTCAAATTATGTTATGAATAATGACCCAATTCCTAAGAACACAAGAAACAAACAATATAGGAGACAGCATTCCTATCTGAAAAAAATAAGCAGCTGGAGATAAAACTATTTAAATTGCTTTACTAACTTGGACACATATGAGTGCCATTATTGATAATACTGACAAAATCTGATGTAGTTTTATAGATGCATTTTAGTGGCCTTAGCCCATTTTATTTATATATTAAAGCAGGGCAAATCATGCTTTTTTTATCTTTTCCAATTTTATTCACAAATTGTCTGAACATTTTCAAATGTATTCACTTGAAATCCTGTGAATATTATTGGACTGTGGTTTGTAAGCAGTTTAAGAATATTCAGCATTCCAAATTTGAGCTGTTATGATTGGACACAATCCCATCCTAAATTTCTGGTCCCTGACTGGACAAGGGAAGCTTTTAAAATTAGGTTTCTGGAACAAATACAATTACAAAGTCAAATGTTCTTTAAGAAAACACAGCAGAATATTCGCAGAAAGTTGGCTGTTTCTGTGAACATTCCTGATTGCATTTGCAAATCCATGGCAAATGAACATAAAATGAGGTGTAGACAGAGAAAGTCACTCAGTGGAAAAAATCAAGCAAATCTGTGCAGATATCACTTGGCAGTGTTAATCCTGATCTCCTTCATAGCAATGTTATCTATGTAATAGCCAAACATTGCACAGAGACAATATTTATTGTTCCTGATAAACAGTACCTTAGATAATAATAATGCCCTACTAATAATGCCTCAACTTTGATTTGGAGTGCCCACCAAGTGGGGCTCAGTCTATATGTGCTTTCACCCTTGGCCTTTCTATTAGACCTACCAGAAAAGTTACTAATTAAGATGATTGTCATGTTGATGCCACTTCACTAGGAACTGGACTAACCCTCACTTCCCCAGATACAACAGATCAGATTACTCAAAAAATGATACATGTATTCTTTGGCATACGCAAAAAATATACAAAACAAGGACATTTCACAGTTATTCTCACATAGAAATATCAAAATCAACTTTCTCAGAAGTCATGGGGGCAGAGGAGGGGGAATATCTTGCCTGATTTCCTGCACAATTTCTACTACACATGCAATGTTTGTCACTTTTTCTAGACTGTGAAGACTGCCAGACCAGGAGTAGAGCCCAACGCAGGATTCTGGACTCAGCTGCAGAGATATGAAGAACATTTACAGACGCAGCATCAGTTGGGTCATTCTTCTGAAAAAATGATTTCTTCCAAATAAATATAATTCTGATTAAAATTTTCTTTTTCAAAGTTTTAAACACAATTGCTTCTAAAAGGCCTAGCAGGGCTGCAAAACCAACTAGAAGAACATAAAACATCCAGCCTTCTCAATGTATTTTTGAGGTTTGCATGACATTCAGATTCTGCAGATTAAGCAGACTTTTAAAAAAATTCTAAACTTTATGGGTGCAAAGATAATCTTCCAAATGTGAACAGAGTGTAACCAAAGCAGTATTATTTTCCCCGATCCTATAAACAACCTACAACAATGACATGAGGTGTGAATTTCCTCATTCAGCTCACTGAGGTGCTAACTTTAAAGCCTAATGAAATATTTAACTGTTGATCATTTTAGCAGATGGAATTGGGGTAGGAGAGCAGCCCGCAGGTGGCGGAAATTGCTGCAGGGAAAAAGGTGCAGAGTGAAGCAAGGAAGAGAAATGAACAGGGAAGAGAGACAAACATAAAGGATAGGGAAGGAAGAAAAACAAAGGGTGCTGTCCTAATGATGAGCATGTTTTCCCTTTGAGTGATGCTAAATATGACAATAGGATACTAAATAAAAACTTTTCATTACTAAATACAGGCTATATTCTACTCTTGATCTTGGTACAAAGCTCCCAATGACATTAGTGGGAGAACTACTGTGCCTAGAACAGTATATAGTTCGAATCTGTACCCCATCCATTGGGCAATAATTAAGAGTGCAATTTGGCCTCTCCACAAAATAAGTTTGACAACCCTCACCTACTTGTTTATAAGTAGGTCTAGAACTAGAATAGAGGGGCACTGCAGACCACAGGCTGAATACTGGCAGAGTTCTGTGTGGGAAGCTTACACAGCTACTGCTCATTCTATGCCTGAATTAGCTTAGTTTTCCCTTGGTTTCAGCAGTACTGAAATATCCATCACAATATTAAAACAAAGGGGAAGAAACTGGCATTATAACGTAATCTCCATCCATTCCATTACCATTTACTAAGCCAAATGAGATTTAACAGTCCCCAAACTGACGTACTGAATAGATCACCAGGGTGTAAAAGAACATTCTGTATCACACATGCAAAACAATGTTTCTGCTAAGAGCCCTTATACAATTTAATAGGAAATATGTTATCTGGGTATATTGGAGACAGAATTTACAACTCAGGCTACATTTAAATTTAATCATGGGGCTCAACATCGGACAAAGTAGAGGATTATTTTGTTGAACTGTTTTAATACATTTGAAATTTAAAAAATAATTATGAAAACTGTAAAATTGTCAATGTGAAATTTCATTTGGCATTGCTCAGCAAACCAATGTAATTTTTACAAAGGTTAGCTAATCTTCAATGACTAAATGCTTATACAATACAAAGGATGTTCCCAGCAGCAGAGTAACTTGAGATGAAAGTGCTAATGACTGAAAGTTACAACCATAAAATTACTGCAGACCAGAGCCACCTTGGAATAGTTTGAATTAGACAATTCTAATACAATGGGTTTTTTCAGTTTCAAGTGTAAATGGATTTTTTTTAATCCACAAAACAATAAGTAAAAAAATAATCAATGATTTGGGAATAAGGCATCAGATAGATAATGCATCCCTTTATCAGATGGCTTCTCCATTCCTGACTGTTTGCAGTATTCCTTGTATATTATTCTATTTGTATATTTGGCATCCACTGGAAAAGGATTTTAGTGTGTTGTGTTCTGCAATTTTTTTTTAAAAGTTCCACTACAAATCCCACATACTAGACCAGTGGTTCTCAAACTTATTTGATTGTGCCCCCCCCCTTTGTGCCTATAGTAGCTTATGTGACCCACTACCCCGCCCCCACTCATGCCACACAAGTACCTATACCAATGTATGTGGCAGCAGTGCTTCACTTGAATCAATTTTGGCTTCTTTGTTTTTCACCTGAGTGGGGGGTTTTTCTGTTGCACGAATGAGCCAGTGATCCATTGTAAGAAGAGCAAAAGCAAAGCTGTGATTGTGGTCCATGCTTACAATTAAATATCAGAGGGGTAGCTGTGTTAGTCTGTATCCACAAAAACAACAAAGAGTCCGGTGGCACCTTCGGGTTTTTTACCCATGAAAGCTTATGCCCAAACAAATCTGTTAGTCTTTAAGGTGCCACTGGACTCCTCGTTGTTTTTACAATTAAATGTGCACATCACGTCATAGCAAACAGATTAATGTACAGATGGCCATGACTTTTTATAATGCTATGCAAACTTAACAGAAATCCATCAAAATGCACAGAGCCATCTACAGGTAAATGCAGAGCGCCATCTGAGGACCTGATATGTCTGGAATAATCAGCTTTGCTAGTTATTCATCGTTGTGGGTAAAATGTGCACAGTAAGTTTTTTTCCCCCTAAAGCTTCTCACCCCACCCCAAATACATTCCAGACACCCGAGGTGGGTGCACCCCCCAGTTTGAGAACCTCTGTACTAGACATAATGTGAACATCAATAAAACATATGTCTTTAAGTGCAAATATAATAAAATTAATGTTTCATTAATACTGTCCATAACAACTTTAATTAAGAACTGCAAATCACTCAAGGGTTAATTCTTATTTACTCTTAAAAGCTAAAACATTTTTTAAAAAATAAGAAGCTGAAGTATTAATAAAATTACAGTAAATTTTACAACACTAGTTTTATTAGGTTGTGATTAGTTGCAGCATGTCAGTTTCACTGTTTGAGCCAGTCAAAAATAGATTAACAATTAGTCTTGGTTTGTTGTCAGGGTACACCATACATTATGGCTTCATTTTGCTTGGTTTGTCAATGAACAGGATATCTCCATGTGGCAATATCTTTCCAGAAACTTAACTGTTTCCATTTTCAAAATATTCCCAGAAGGAAGTACTAAAACATATAACAACCTCAATACTGAGATAAAGATTGCAGCCTGAACTAGAACACTCAAAAATTAGTTTCTCTTTTTATTTGGATTGACAAGATGTTAACGTACAAACAATTAAAAAATAAAAGAAGAGTTTACACATAATCTTTGGCTGTTCTGACTGTATCCGAATTTTTGGTGTAAATGCGTGGCTGATGAGCTGTCTGGCCAGCGGAGTAGTCATACTTGCGGTCGCTGTAATTAAGAAAAACGAACTGTAAATTATTAAGTACTATACATCCACATGCTCTTTGACAAAATCAGTTTAACTGATCTAAGCAGGAATCTTTATTTATGCTAGTTGCAAATTTTAACATAAATCAATACGATAAAGAATGTAGTGGAAAATTATCTTGGGTCCATGCTGTTGGTATCTCACCCTTAGTACAGAGCTTTAAATTCTGCACTAGGTTTCACTGAAGGATTTACTAAAATCATGTTGAAAATTAGTGAGTCAGTGCATTATGGGTCAGATCCAAAGCCCTATTAAGTCAATAGAAATTTGTCCATCAACTTCAGTGGCTTTGGACCAGGCTCAATATGCAATAGTATATCGTGCTCAACGTAATACTGTCCCTCATTGGCTGTTCTCACGCAGCTTTTTCTAATGTTTAAGTAAAGCATCATACAACATGCTTCTTCCTTCTGTGCATCGCCTTTTTTTAAAGGTTTAAATTAGGGTGACCAGACAGCAAATGTGAAAAATCGGGACAGGGAGTGGGGGGGGGAGGGGGGTAATAGGAGCCTATATAAGAAAAAGACCTAAAAATTGGGACTGTCCCTATAAAATCGGGACATCTGGTCACCCTAGTTTAAATAAATGTGGTTTAGATGTACTTGGTCCTAGTATTCCTTGGACATTTCAAGGGTGCACAGACCTTTGCTATTTCTGACAAGTGCAACCTTTTCCCAGACAACTGCTGCATATCTGACTTGCTTTAAATAAAGATTATGTTTTTCCAATGAAAAAGGATAAGTAGTCAGGCCAGAAATCTTAGTTTTTCTGACATATTGCTAAACAAACCTTTCTACAAGAAACAAGAAAAATCTCAGAATTTCTTAAGCTGTATCAGTTTCTTTGGGGGAAAAAATGATTTTATTTTCTGCAAGATAAATGGAATTAGATTCTTTTAATGGTAGTGAAAATATATGATTAGAAAATTATAGCACTATTGCCATAATACAAAAAAAAAGTTAAAGATCTGTATTGCAATTTTACCAATACAAAGGAAGCTCTGCTCTTTGACTGCACAATTCCATTGTACATTCATTAGAAGCACCAACACTGCCCATAATTATAAAAAATATAAAACTGATTATTTCAAATTTTAACAAGCCAGTGTCAAAGGTCAGAAGGATAGGCGTAAAGAGTATATACATGTTTACATCACAAGTTTATGGCAAGTTGACTACTTATCAACATGAATTGACAGTCCCAGCCTCTAGTTTTTGCATCTACACAATACAGAAGTGAATAATTGGGAACAAAATCACTTTCTATGCATAAATTGACACTGATTGAAGTATATAATTTATTTTGATCTTTAAGATAAAGAGCTACCTGTGCTTTCCTCTTTTTCTCCCTTTGCATGAACAAGTCAAGAAGATCCCACCAAGCATAGACAGAATCGATCCAGCCCAGCCTAAGTACAGTGCATCTCCTAGTTCATACCTGGAATATGAAGGATTTTATGGAAGCATCATACAACAGGATCACACATAGAAGATTTAAAGCTTTCTCCATGATATTATTATATATTTTATATGAAGCAGTAATACATTTTACACTGTACTAGCTATAAGATGTGCTAATTGTATAAAAAGCTAGCATCATTCTTGGTAAAGAATGCAGAGAATTATAAACCAGGCAGTTTCAGTACCCAATTAAATGTTACATAATAGATGATATGGCCAATAATGTAAGCATTTGTATCTCTAATCAACAAACCTCTTAAGCATATGCTTAAGTGCTTTGCTGAATCAGGGATTTAAAGAACAAAAATTAATAAGCAACCTGGAGATAAAGGGGGATAGGTAATTGCTTAGAAAAACCGAAGAGTTGGTCATAAAGGACATATATTTACAGTGTCTGAGAACAGAATACATGGAGCAACAGCTTGAAGATAAAAGGGGAAAAAAGGTTTACTGCACTTATCCACTTACATCTGGAGATCTCAGTATTATCTCTTCAGCGTAATAATTTTCTCCTACACAGAATTACCAATACAGATCCCCACTATAGGAGACTATTAAACAGATAAGCAATTAGTGTCTGATCTAGCACTCCTACCAAGAAAACGTTTAGTTAAAAGTGTGAACTGATCTGAAAGTAGCAACCCTAAAAATCTCAAAGACAGCAATGTTATAGATGCATATTGTAGATATGGTTCCCTTGCTGTAATGTAGAAAACTTAGTTTCCTTCTAGCAAAGGAACTTCTGTCTATTCATACCAGGTCTGAATGCAAATTCTCATCCAGTTCTAACCTTTGCTTTTCCAAGATTGCTTCACCCTTATACTTCTCCCTATATTCTAATAACAGCTGGTGGACTTCCTGAAGAGCTTAGCTCTATGTAGTCAACTGGAGTTCTCTTCATGTCCAGATTTTTCATATCTAACCTGGTATTACCAGCAAGTGGTAACAGTAAGGAGGACTAACCCAGAATATCAGTAATAAATAGTCAAGAATGACTGGTTTAGTCAGTCTTTCACAAGGCCAGATAGAAACTCATCACCCTTCTTTTTTTAATGGAGATCTTAATGTTATTATTTGTATGATCGCAGTACCTAGGAATCCCAGTCATGGAATAGGGCCCCATTGTGCCAGATGTTGTACAAACACGGAAAAAAAGACAGTCCCTGCCCCAAAGAGCTTACAATTAAAATATAAAACAACAGATGGATATAGACAAATAGTTGAGTACAAGGAAACAATAAGACAATATTGGTCAGCACGACAGGCTGTGGTCTCAGCACACCAGCAGCCTAACTGCTGTCATGTTTTTGTAGGCATCAGGGCAAAGGAGAGTTTGAAGGAGGAATTTGAAGGAGGATAATGAAGTACAGTAGAACCTCAGAGATATGGACACCTTGGGAATGGACGTTGTCCATAACTCTGAAATGTTTGTAACTCTGAACAAAGCGCAGGTCGGACTCCAGATCCAGCAGCTGAAACTCCAGGCCAGGTTTCAGCAGCAGCTGAGCTCCCTACTCAGCACCAGCATGAGTTTGCTAGCTTTCCCCCTCCAGGCAGGGTCTGTAACCCCCTCCAGGGGAGTGGGGGAAGGAGTGAAAGTGGTGCAGACCCCAGTGCTGCTTAGGGTGACCAGACAGCGAGTTTGAAAAATTGGGACAGGGGGTGGGGGGTAATAGGAGCCTATATAAGAAAAAGACCCCAAAATCAGGACTGTCCCTATAAATTCGGGACATCTGGTCACCCTAGTGCTGCTCCTGCTCTACTAGCTGGCTCCGGCTGCCTTGGGCTGGCAGCCCCAATGTCTTGCTGTTAGTGGCTACCCCATGCATGGGGGTGGGGACAGGCAGCCCAGATGTGCCTACCTTTAAGATGCAATACAGGCACAGTACAGTATTTGTTGTTGTTGTTGTTGGTCTCTGTTACTGCCTGATTGGTTACTCCCGGTTTCACTTGGTATCCTGTTGACTAGTCAGTCCGTAACTCTAATGTTTGTATCTTTGAGGTTCTACTGTAGCTTTGTGGTTGTTTATGAGGCGCTTCTCCCAAGGGTAAGGGACAGCATGGGAGAAAGCACAAAAGTGCTTGTTTGAAAATTTAACAAGTGAGCTATGGCTGCAGATTGGAATCAGGAGCTGATCTTTCAATAATGAATGAGAGGTGATAGACAGGTTGGGGATAGGCATGGAAAGTGATGAGTCAGAACCATGCAAAGAGTGGGGTGACATGGTCAAAGTGATGGGTAAGGAGAATGGTCTTTGCAGAAGCATTCTGAATGGATATGAATGGGGAAAGATTGCATTTGTCAAGGCCAAAGAGAAGAATGTTGCAGTAACTGGGATGCAAGATAATAAGAGCAGGATGATAGTTGAACTGTATGGATGGATAGGAAAGGCTGTATCCTAGTGGCGTTATGCTGAAAAAATCTGCAAGATTTAGACACAGCCAGGATGTGAGGACCTAGAGAGAGATCCAAGTTGAAGACGACGCCCAGATTACAGATGAGAGTGACTGGCAGGATGGTGGTGTTGTCTACAGTGTACAAGACAGGAGACAGCGGGAAGGATTTCAGGGAGGAAATTAGGAGTTCTGGTTTAGCCAGGTTGAGCTTGAACTGACAGCTAGACATTCCCGAGGAGATGTCAGACACAAGCTGAGAGTTTAGTTTGGACAGAGGGAGACAGGTCCAGAGTACAGATAGCACTGTGAGTAGTCAGCATAGAGATTGTATTTGAATTTGTGTTTCTGAGAGTGATTACCCAGAAATAAGGTGTAGAGGGAGAAGAGAACAGAACCTAGGACAGAGCCCGGTGGAACCCCAACATAGTGTTATAAAGGGATGGGTGAGAATCCTCTAAAGCAGTGGTCTCCAGCCTTTTTACACCCAAGATCACTTTTTGAATTTAAGGGCAACCCAGGATCTACCCCACCCCTTCCCTGAGGCCACGCCCCACTCCACCCCCCCCCCGTCGCTCGCTCTCCCCCACCCTCACTCACTTTCAGCAGGCTGGGGTAGGGTGTTGGGGTTTGGAAGGGGGTGAAGGCTTTGGGTTGGGGCCAAGGGGTTCACAGTGTGGGAGGGGGCTCTGGGCTGAGCCTGGAGAGGGGGTTGGGGTGCAGGAGGGGGTAAGGGGTGCAAGTTCTGTGAGGGAGTTTGGGTGTAGGGGGAACTCCAGGCAGAGGCAGAGTGTTGGGGTGCAGGAGGGGTGTGGGATGTGGGCTCTGAGAGGTAATTTGGGTGCAGGAAGGGGCTCCGGGCTGGGACAGAGTGTTGGCGTCCAGGAGGAGGTACAGGGTGCTGGCTCTGGGAGGGGGCTCAGAGCTGGGGATTGGGGTGTGGCATCCCACCAGGCAGCACTTACCTCCGGCGGCTCCCGGTCTGCGGCACAGCGTGGCTGCCGCTAAGCCAGGCTCCCTGCCTGCCCTGGCCCCACGCCACTCCCGGAAAGGGCCAATGTGTCCCTGCGGCTCCTGGGGGAGTGGGGGTGCGGGGACATGTGGCTCCACGCACTGCCCCTCTCTGCAAGCATCACCCCCGCAGCTCCCATTGGCCACAGCTCCCCGTTCCCGACCAATGGGAGCTGCGGGGATGGTGCTTGCAGGCAGAAGCAGCCCGCGGAGGGAAACCCCTGCCCCCAGAGTATGAGGTGGGAGGGAGGGAATGAAATGTTTAGGGGGATGGGGGTTTCCCACAGGTATCTGCTAGGATCTGTTTTATGTAACAGCTTTATTCATGAAATGGAAGAAAGAATAAAGAGGAGTGTAATGAAATTCATAGATTAAACTGAATTGGGATGACAGGAACACAACATATACCCACAGCTAGCCAAGAAATAAAAGAACAGAGGTTGCCAGGTACTGCACATCTTCTTACAGCTTCAGCGCCAAATAGCCAGTGCTACAAGGAGGCATTCATGCAACCTTAACAGATATTGCTTTTATAAAAGGTTCCCAAATCTCAGAGGAGCAGCAGTGTATAGGCCATGCTTGATAGATTCCTAATGTCTCAGAAACATGCACCAGCCAGCTTCCAAATGCCCTCCCCTTTCCTTCAGTTCAGTCACCAAGGCAGCTGGCTAAGACATCCACCAACGGCTCTGTACTATGAGCTGACAAATTTGGGCCCTGTCCATTGCAAAGTGTGAATCCCAAAGATCTGCCCTTTATCCACTTTAACATTCCCAACAGGTAGTGGAGATAGTTCTGTATACAATATAGCCTGGAAAGATGGACATGGGTGTGACGGTACCTCCCATAAGGCTCTATGGAAATATGCTTAGAATGTGTTTTATGCTACATATGCCATGTAACATATCTCCATAAAGGTTATGATCTACTGAATGTAGTAATCCTATTTGCATGCATCATTTTTGTATTCAATGTTATGAATGTTATGAATGTTGTCTGTGTACTGGCTTGATTTCTAAATAACCTTAATAGAGCATTTGGTCAGTTCCTGGAGAAAGGAATGTTGAAATTAAGTACCTAATCAAGAAACACTTAAAGGACAATGGATCTTTGAATGCTCCAATCCACATAAGAAGTCTACTTGAGGACGTTCAAGGTAGCATGTAAACCAGGGGTAGGCAAACTATGGCACGCGTGCCGAAGGCGGCACACAAGCTGATTTTCAGTGGCACTCACACTGCCCAGGTCCTGGCTACTGGTCCAGGGGGCTCTGCATTTTAATTTAATTTTAAATAAAGCTTCTTAAACATTTAAAAAACCTTATTTACTTTACATACAACAATAGTTTAGTTATATATTATAGACTTATAGAAAGAGACCTTCTAAAAACGTTAAAATGTATTACTGGCACGCGATACCTTAAATTAGAGTGAATAAATGAAGACTTGGCACACCACTTCTGAAAGGTTGCCGACCCCGATGTAAACAATGGATGCTACCTGTAAAAACTGTGAGTCATGCATGGACATGGGACTGGCCCAGGTGACTCCTAAACTCCATCTTGGAGCTGGACTTTGCTGGAATGAGTGAGGAGTGAGGAGGGGGTCTCCACCAACAAGAGAAAGTCTATTTAAACCCCTGGGAGACCCCTCCATTTTGTCTTCAGCTGGCTAAAGAGAGCCTCTCCACCCCCACCCCACCCCCAGAATACCTGGAAGAAATTGGAACAAAGGACAGTGACTGCAAGGGGTGTGAGTGATTGCTGGACCCAGGCTAAAAGGAGATTAGTCTGTAAAAGGGAGCATTCTGGAACCGGTGAGGATCTTATCTGTATTCAGTTTGATTAGGCATAGATTTGTGCATTTTATTTTATTTTGCTTGGTGACTTACTTTGTTCTGTCTGTTACTACTTGGAACCACTTAAATCCTACTTTCTGTATTTAATAAAATCACGTTTTACTTATTAATTAACTCAGAGTATGTATTAATACCTGGGGGAGCAAACAGCTGTGCATATCTCTCTATCAGTGTTATAGAGGGCGAACAATTTATGAGTTTACCCTGTATAAGCTTTATACAGGGTAAAACGGATTTATTTGGGTTTAGACCCCATTGGGAGTTGGGCATCTGGGTGTTAAAGACAAGGACACTTCTGTTAGCTGCTTTCAGGTAAACCTGCTGCTTTGGGGAAAGTAATTCAGACCCTGGGTCTTTGTTGGAGCAGACGGGAGTGTCTGGCTCAGCAAGACAGGGTGCTGGAGTCCTGAGCTGGCAGGGAAGGCAGGGGTAGAAGTGGTCTGGGCACATCGGATGGCAGCTCCCAAGGGGGTTTCTGTGATCCAACTCGTCACAATGGGTTATTGCCATACTCAACAAGTAAGCTTTTAAGCCTAGAGACACAGGAAGGGTGGGGATATGGAGCAAAGGTAAGATTGGTCCTGGAATTTTTCCTGGATGTTTCTGAATTTTAAACTGTTCATATTATTCTGAAAAGGCAATATATTACCTTCAAGTTCTTTCTTTGGAATTTATATTCCATTCAGACAAAGGGATCTTGGGGTGGGCAGAAGTCACTCTATTATGTAATATGATTTATACTCGAATTTGGTGGTGGCTATTTTTAAGACACTCTTAACCAAAATCCATTTAGTCTGAGGGCACATATCATTGCACTGTATATTCTCTAGACAGAAGGACAGGATACCAAAATGTCCATCATTGTCATATCCTCCAAAGCTGTTACTGCCATTCTATGAATAGGCCTCCAAGATGTTCCAAACGCAGTTTAAGTTGTATCCATTCTACTTAGATTGTAAGCTCTGTGGGGCAGGGACTGTATTTATGTTCTGAGTTTGTATACCACCTGGCATAATGAGGTCCCGGTCCCTGACTAGGACTCCTAGGTGCTATGGTAATACAAATAATTACTAATAAAGCCAAGTCCTTCCCACAGCACCACCTATTCTGTGTGTTTCACCTTCCCTCAGAAATCTCTGTGCAGCCACATAGGAGAGGCTCTGAATTTCAGGGAGCATGAAGGAACAAAGAAGAAGCCATTTTGGAGCAAGCACACCTGTGAATCTGGAGGATTTCTTGCTGGTAAATGCTCCATGTCACATTAACTTTGGTTCTGCATTCTAAGAGCCACAAAAGGGTCACAGACAGCCAATGCAATGGTGCATTAGTGACAGGAGATCCTGCCAATAGAACAGAGGGATGTACACTCTGTGCCAATGCGCCATGACTGAGAATTTGAGGCTGGTATGCCTTGCACATTCCTTGACTCCTTGAAAGTGAGAACATACCCCAGTCCTCCCAACCAGCAATAATTCCTCCATCCTGTGGGAAAGAGGATTTCAAAGGCTGAGTTGTTGATAAATTTTTCTTTAAGCAGGATGGGATAACTTGACCAGTACAGACTACGGGGTCCTGGAAAACCCTTACAGGAAACTGCCCACTGAAATTACTGATGCTATCTTAAAAATATTCACCAATTTGGTACAACAGGTCCATTTACTTACTTCGTTCCACCATACAGTGGGTCAAAAAACTGAGCAGTAATCCTTGCAGCATACCAAGAAACAGCCACCATGGAAGAGAGTCCTATGGAGAAAAATTCAAAATGCACATACTTAAATAAACCATTAAATAGTTCTACAGCTTTAAATTATGAAAACAGATGTACATTTCACTTAGTTTGCTAATCATGAAAACAGTATTGAGCACCAATGGTGTCCTAAGTTCAGTCTCAATGCACAATGTTGGTATCTTACCTGCTAAAATGAAGATCGCTCCCCCCGTTACAGAAATCTTTACTTTTGTGTTTTCATTACTCATCCCAACTTGCGTGCACTTTAAACCAAACAATGACAGCACAGTAGCCAAGAGACCCAAGACGATGGAAATGATCATCAGGGCACGACATGCTTGTATGTAAGCTGCATTAGAAAAGCAGGACAAAAAAAATCAGTTCCTGCACAAGTAATTTAATAAAATTCAATTTTGAAAGTACATGTTCATCAAAGAAAACGTCAAATAATTATCAGAATTATTGATGAGTGAAGTTTACAAGGTATAGCTATTTGGTTTACAGAAGCATCTAAAAGTCAGAATGTTTATGCAGTAAAGAAATTAATGAGGTTGCAAATTTTAATGCTGAACTGGACTAACTAGTAGTGATGGGGTTAATGGTTTCAATAACACCTGACAGAGGTTTTTGTAAACCTGAAAAATTACATCCAAATTAGTGAGTTGGTTATCTGATCACCAGAACTATATGAACCATTGCTTGTTGTAAGGCCAAATGTGAGTTTTTGTGTCCATTAAAAATGGTGCATGAAAAATAGTAGGTACTAATTTAGAGGAGACCTTGGAAATCTGGCTCTTCATGTTTAAATTCTCTGATGCATTTATCAGATGTCCATTGTCCAAGGTATTTGGGCTTGAAATCTCAAAAAAAGATTTTTGCAAATTGAACTTCCCTTTTAAAAAAAACTTGCCAAGTGCCTCCAAATTGCCCACCTTAATCCAGTTCCCAACCACAAGCAATAAATGCCTGACCTACTGAGCTAAAAACTCCAGAATATTAAAGGGTACAAGTGTTTGAGGAAACAAATATTTTATAAAACATCTATTTCAAGCTTTCTTGAGGAAACAAATCACAGGCAATAAAAGGGCAAAAAATCGTTTTCCGTAAAATGAATAGTTTTAGCCCTGATTTTCAGCTAACCTGGTCTTTGGAGGCATATAAAAAGGGTGAGTGCACAGCCTGAACAGTCACAGCTTTCTAGAAAGTTTAGGGTTGCATGGCACGGATGTGTGTATCACCAAAGATAGGGATCCATATGGACAATGCTCAAAGAATGTTAAGATTTAGTTCTTTCAAACTCCTAAAGTATTAAGCAGGATTACTTGTAACTCGACAGAGTATTAAGTCATACCTTTTGGGTAACTGATGTAAAGTTTAATGATTACATTATTTTCTAACAAAACGATTTACTACTACACCCCTTACCACATTATAATAATCTCAACAACCTTAACTATGGAGCTCCTAGAGTTAATTCCATAAGAGGAGGGGTTACTCTCAATTTTTTTTTATAGAAGGTATTTATTAATCAGGTTACAAACTAAGCTAATTTACCAATCAATAGTAATTGCAGCACATGATTCTACATCAGAGATGGCACAGAGCTAATTGCACCACCTCAATCTGTTTCATTGCCAATGTTCTATTTACACAATAGTTTTATTGTTTTTCAACTCAATTTATATTTAGTCTCTGACCTTCTGACATCCGTTCGATATCCTAGTTATTGTTTAACATTTGCTTGGCAATAGTTTTTCCACTTCCAGCTTTGTAGAAAGTAGCAACAATTTGCATATAAATGGCATCTGTCAAAGACCTTGAGAAATCTAAGTATTATTCCCATTTTATAGATAGGAAAACTGAGGCACAGATACTCCGTGACTATCTGATTCCCAGTCCCCCACTCTAACCATTACATCATGCTGACTCTAGATGAAAATATGTTACTTATGTTTAAGATTAGATAATATATATGGTGCACAGACCATTCAGAATGAACCACTTTCAGGTTGTGTATATAGTACATAATAGTTAGTGATTAAAATTTGTTTTGTTTTCCAGTCAATCTTGTCGGGTAAATATTTGAACCTTCAAGCCAATCCTGTTTTTAAAATTTAAGACTCACAAAAGGAAGCCCAGTAGGTTAAGGAATATGCATCCTTTGTGTATGAATTAACACCACAAAGGGCAATTTAATTCCTGTCTTGTTTTAAGGCCTGATGATCAGTATGTAAAGAAATAGTCAGTGGCGATAGCTGAATCTCAATTTATTTTGCCAAAAACATATTAAATTCAATTTTTGTTTTAGTCCAAAGTGCTTTCACATACAAGATCCCAAAGGAATGTGAATCTGAATATCAAAAATAGATTAGTTGTAGGAGGTGGTTGAAGAAAACAAGCTGGTCAGTTTCACGTTCTGGGGCTTCATCACCCAATTTGAGGTCCTGGGATCCTCCTTTTAGATACTGCAAAACAAGTCTCTGCACCCTTAGGCCTTTTGTTGAGCAGCTCATCTTCTTTCCATGCAATATTGTTTGATGTTTGCCTTCTAAGATTCTCTGTCTGCACTGATTTTGTCCAGTAGCTTATCTCTTGGACCCATCATCTCATCTTTCTTGTTTTTCATCAATCTGCTCTTCAGTTTGTTTTTCTATTTTCCTTGTTCAGTTTTCTTTTTCCAGAACATCGTTCATTCTTTACCTACTTCAATCTCCTCCTTTGATGCGATGATGAGATACAAACTATCTACAATAGCACCTCAGAATTATGAGCACCAGAATTACAAACTGACCAGTCAATCACACACCTCATTTGGAACCAGAAGTACGCAATCAGGCAGCAGCAGAGACAAAAAAAAAAAAAGCAAATACAGTACAGTACTCTGTTAAACATAAACTACTAAAAAAATAAAGGGAAAGCCACATTTTTCCTCTGCATAGTAATTTCAAAGCTGTATTAAGTCAATGTTTAGTTGTAAACTTTTGAAAGAACAACCGTAACATTTTGTTCACAGTTACGAACAACCTCCGTTCCCGAGGTGTTCTTAACTCTGAGGTTCTACTGTATTATATATTCCATAAGTATATTCCTTATATGAAGCCTTGATTAACCTCACTAATCTGAAGCAGAGACTTTGAATCTTAACTCAAGGATAATAAAACTAGAGTTTAAAGTGCCAATACAAATAGAAATTGGCAGCTGATTAACTGCTTAGTGACAAATGCTTGATCTACAGCTGTAACACAGGTGCTAAATACATAAGTAATTTAATATAGTTGGTCTCCTTTGCACCGCACTCTGAATTAGCAGTGCCTAAAATAAGATATTCAATTCAAACCCCTTATATGTGTTAAAGGGATCTGGATATCTTTGACTACAGGGAGTTGTATTATACAAATACAGATTCTGGGCCATATCCTGCCCTTTGTCTATGCATCAACTGTGGTCAGATTGTTAAGTTTAGTTTGTTCTCAATTCTGACTATTTCATCGACGGTGCTGTGAATTGCCCATGTACAGTTGCTCAGATAAACTTTGGCTGTCATAACTTTTAGGCACCTGACTGGGTGATATCTTATCTCCACAGTTTTGTTTCCTGAACAATCCCCAAACCCTGTATAACACTCCTTTCATTCTAAAGTTTCATACTTTAAAAATAATTGTATTCGTGTCCAAAGAAGCTCAAGGCATCTTATACAATAGATGAAAATGTAAAAGTTAAATCAAAATTAATATACTAAGTAAAGTCCTACTGATCTCAAAAAGGTTTTAAACCTGATTTAAAGGGAGCTAAATCTGATATCAGAGGGCACTCTAACCAGCTAGGGCTGCCAATGCAGAGACCTTCAAGAGATCCCTCCTGCTTCTGTTTAAAACCATGCTCTAACAGCCCATCACCAAAGATGCCTTTCCTTTCTACCTCTGATCTCATTCATTTTCATTGTTTCAGTTACATTTCTGCGCAGATGATTCCTGAATAACCTCTACATTGGAGCTGAACCCTGACCCTCATCTGTGCGATCTTATGCTTCCAGCTCTCTCTGGATGTCCTGCTGCTCTCTTAATCTTCAAAATTGAGCTACTTATTTCTTCCAAACCTTTTTTCTCCACCTTCCTGACCTGTCACCATAACAACTCCACTATCCTTCCTGTCTCCCAGGCTTGCAAATCTTATCTTTGATTCTTCTCTTCTTCCATAAATGCAGTGTCTCCAAGTTCTATTGCTTTTTTCCTCTGTTATAGGAAAATCCACCTTTTCCTTACTATCTTCATCTCTTTTCCTCTCTCAAATATTGCAAACTCTACACCCTCCAGGCTATCCAACATGCCTCTGCTTAAGAAATGTTCCCTTCCTGCTGGTCTAACCATAGAGCCACCCTCTGAATATATTCATTCACTTCCTCTTACTGCATCAAATTTAAGATTCAAGTTCTCACCTTTAAAGCCCTACCTATAAATTTCCTATATGTCTGCTCTCATTTCTCCCTTAGACACCACCCGCCCCCACCTCCCACTCCCTACTATGCTCTCATCCTCTACCAAATCCTCTTCGGTTCCCTTTCCCTCCTCCCACTTTTGCCTTTGTATCCTCACTCCTGATATTCTTGTCTGCCTCCTCTGAATTTCTTTAAAGCCACATCTTCCAAAAGGCTTTCTTACCTTCTTATCAGTGACACACTCTTGTGTTACTGGGTAGGGAATTCTAAAAAAATTCCCACTGGTATCACCACTGTGTAAATTTATAGTGCCATATAAATAAAATGTTATGTGGAGCCAAAAGCTCTAAATTATGAGGCCCAGTCCAGTGGTGGATTTATATAATAACACAATCCATGCTCAAATAAGCAGCCTGCGGAGAGAAAACAGATGGATATTATCCTAATTCTTATTGTAGAATGCAAGAAGTTTATTCACACCACATTTTATGTTCCTCTCAGTCTAAAGTAATACACCTCTACCCTGATATAACGCTGTCCTCGGGAGCCAAAAAATCTTACTGCATTATACGTGAAACCGCGTTATATCGAACTTGCTTTGATCCGCCGGAGTGCGCAGCCCCTCCCGCCCCGGAGCGCTGCTTTACCGCGTTATATCCGAATTCATGTTATATCGGGTCGCGTTATAATGGAGTAGAGGTGTAAAAAGAAACCTACACAAACCATTTTAAACCTGCTTCTGAAAGAAAAATAGTTTAAGGAAATTATAAATCTCCCCTAGCAGTTACCTTTTACCTTTAGTGTACTGTAACTTAAATTCTTAAAATGTAATTAAAATCTTTTCCAGATTAGAATGTATGTTTTAGGGCTTGTCCACACATGAAATTTATTTTGGTTTAAAGTAGAGTGTGAAT